TCATCTCCACTCATCTCAGCTCGAAAACCTTCTGGTTGGCCTATAGAGCTTTTCATCAGAATTGATCTGGGGGGTTCTTTCCACACGTATCCTTGTCTGGGGGGGCCATTCCGGAGCTTGGAGGAAGCTGAAGATGCCATCAAAAGCCATCTTGATGGCCTGCGCTCTCCACTAATGTGAATTTTCTCAACTTTGCCTTGGTTTTCTGCATTTCAGAAATTACAATATACTAACATATAGTGTTCTAACCTCAACCAGGCGCAAAGATAAGATTTCGCCAGAGGAATTTGCGGTACGATATCGCCTTTACTGGCCTGATGGCACGAGGAAGATGTCGTCCAAATGCAATTATGAAAGCAGCAATAGGAAGCTATTGGTTCAAGCTTTACTCGATAAATACAATGAAGATCACCATCTTTTGGGGGTTTGATCTCTCTCCCTCCTCCCCACCACCACTCTCTGTCCTATTACCAGGCTTGTATTGACCGTCTTTTATTTCATGTACTAATCGCTGTTGCAATCCATGCCTCTTTTTCAGGATCTTGCATATGAACTTGATGATGTTTTGAGCTTCCGACAAATTTTTGAGGAGGAGGGCTGCCTTGTTAACATGTTCTATCATATCAATTTGGCTGTAAAAATCAAAGGAGATGATGGTTTTCACAACAATATATTCTTTGCTGAAGTCACACGAATAAAAGGCGAAAATGAAGAATACATGCTCAATTGTTTCTGTATGGTTAAACCTATTGACAATGGTATTTCTTCCACCACAGATTAAGTTCTGTTCATACAGTTTGGGATCACATTTATCTGGTTGATGTACTTGGTTGCCCCTTGTGTCATGTTTCCTTTCATCTCATCCACTGTCCTTGAGCTTTACTATATAGTTTTAATGTCTAAGCTAGTTCATTCGCAGCCATTTGCAGTGACTTTCTACACATGTTTTTATTTTTCTTGGTTGGTCATTTGTTATTTTGGTGATTCATGCCCGGCCATATAGTAATCATCTAACTTGCTTTTTTTTTCCCCTGACTGGTTATTTGGTAATTATAAATGACAAATCAATGGTATCCCTTTCATCTTACATTAAGTTCTTTGTACAGTTTGGGGTCACATTTATCTGGTTAACCTTTTGGTTGCCCTTCATCTCATCCACTGTCGTTGAGCTTTACTACATTGTTATATCTAAGCTAGTTCATGCCCAGCCATATGCACTGACTGTCTAAGTGATTTTATTTTGCCCAAGGCCGATGCTCAGGTTGTACGAGGTATGGACAGTATGATTTGAAGCACCCAGCTGATGCTGATAAATACAAAGGTGGCCACTCTACCCCGTTCATCCAATGTTGTGGTGTAGATTGTATTCCTTCCATGGTCCTGGATAGACCTGGATACATCCAGAATGAGAAGGATTGTTCGGAGGCGGAGAAGGCTATGTTGGCGGCGGAGGAGGAGGCTATGTTGGAGGAGGAGGAGGCTAGGATAAGATATATATACAAGGTAATGTTATATCTTGTGTGGTTGGTATTTTTCAGTAATGTTACTGAAGTGTTATTGTTGCTTTCAGTGCCCTGGTGATTCTCCTATTCAGGCAAAATCAGATGGTGAAAAAATGCCTGCTGGTTTGGCCAAGAGAGGAGAGGGTGCTGGTTTGGCCAAGAGTGGAGGGGGTGCAAAATTGGATGGTGCAAAGATGACTGCTGGTTTGGCCAAGAGAAGAGAGTGTGCTGGTTTGGCCAAGAGAGGAGAGGGTGCTGGTTTGTCCAAGAGTGGAGAGGGTGCAAAATTGGGTGGTGCAAAGATGACTGCTGGTTTGGCCAAGAGAAGAGAGTGTGCTGGTTTGGCCAAGAGAGGAGAGGGCGCTGGTTTGGCCAAGAGAGAGGATAACCAGGGAAGCGTGAAGTACATTGTACCTGCTAGACGTGGGTTGATGATTTGAGTATCCCCTCAGGTGATAAATTTGATTTGATTTTGGTAATATTTGTTTTCACTAGTCAATGGTTCATTAGGTTCAAGCATTATAATATTGTTACAATCTACGCTGTTGCATGTTAACTGCATGTTTAATGAATATTTAGTTGATCACTAGTGCCTTGATTCAAATTTGTAAACTTGTTCTTTTCCTTGTCACTTTGTGGATTTGCATGGTATTGACATATTTATCAAGTGTAAGGACAATTGTTCCCAAATTCTCTGGACATTTAAACACTCAGGTCATTTATGATCGTTCAACTACCAATGTTCTCAAACAATTATAAGGCTTTTTTTATTTCAAGTATAGCGAAGGACAATGCATTATATATACTCTCGATGTGCCATTTCATAAATTTTTGCCATCCTGCCAAATTGCCAGAAATGAAATTCCAATTGATGAGCTGTTTCCTTCATAGCTCTCCTTGATATTGTTACACTATTTTTAGAACTTGATTTATCCAGCAAAGTTGATTTTGCTTAGCATATCTGTCTTTTATAGGTTAGTTGTTATATCTTTTGACCATTAATCTCGTTACATATTCTGGTTCAGGTCCCTTTCCACTCGTGGACTTGACTCCAATTGATGGCTAAGACAGCATAGCAATCTATGGGGATGTACACCATCTATCATAATTGCTGCTTTTTAAATTTCCAGTATCTTTTCAGAAGGATTGAACTCGTTGTGCATCATCATTTGGAATGTCGTCGCTGTACTTGTAGCATTGTATGATAAAGTTTGGTCGGATTTTATATTAACATGTATGATAAAAGTTTGGTCGGATTTTATATTAACATGTATGATAAAGTTTGGTCGGATTTTATGTTGCTATGGTACTAGAATCGGATGCAGTGCACTTTTCAATTTTGTCAGTTGTAGATGAAGTTTCCAATCCAGAAGTTGTGATCTTGTAAGTTGAAATATACTCAACCGATGTATCCTTTCAGTCCATAATGTGATTTCCTTTCAGTCCATAATGTGATTTCTACTGTCTGAAAAACTGCATTTGATCTGTCCAGTGGCCATCTACCTGCCTCCTTGTTGACAGCGTTGCCATCCATCAAGTTTCACATATTCTCTCTAGATCACATAATCCACATTGTTGACAGCGTTGACATCCAAAAACTTTCTCATATGATCACACATTGCCATCACTAACCTTTTGCAGCTGTTTGTTGGGGTGCTTAGCCCCAGTTCAACAAGCCCCAAGAAGCGTCCTCTAGATGACGGATTATATTAGTTTCAAGCAAATGGCCGCATATAAAACATGGTTTGTTACCTAGTGGATGATGATGACAGATAGTTTTCCACCCGACCGTAGCCATCGCCGCTGCCACAACTTCCATACACTCCGCCGCCTGTGTACCCCCTCTTCTTCCTCGTTCGGTGGACTCATCGGCGGATGTGAGGCATGAACTAGGTTGTAGAATACCAAGTACTTTCCTTGATTATGGCTTCAATTTCGTGGTGTGAATACAAGGCCTTTGATTCACTGGTTGACTATCGTTAGGTGAATCTCAATCCAAAACTTATTCGTTTCGTTGGTTTTTTTCCAACGCCGACGTCAAGATCAGTCTCTTTTCCTTCTCTTTTCGGGAGCAGAGCTGAAAAAGATGAAGTTACTTGGAAATGGATAATTTTGAATTAACAATACAACAGTACAAAGCGTCTCTCACGTCCATTCTTTTATTAAAGATTTTTTCCATCCTACGTTGGATCCGCAGCTTGTGAACCAGCTTTTGGAAGGGGTGGAGACACCTACCTTGAAAGACAGAGACCTCCTTTTCAAAATATATGGAATTTCTCCCGAAAATAGAGAGGTTTTGTTTTCAGAAATCACAAAAATGATAGAATTATACTTAAAACAGGCACAAATGGTTTTGCCTGCGGCATACAATGTTATCGAGTTTTGTGACCAATTTCTGGGCCGGATTCTCCCCGGAGTCTAAGAGATACTTTCATTGATTTACATTTCAAGGGGCACGAAAGCTTCACTTGGAACCGGGGCGTGGCTCATCTTTTTAACGAAATATGTAAGGCCGAAGGCTATCAGCCGAAAAGCCCCGTAAGTGCTCCGAATCCGCATTTTTTGGAAAGCCCATTGGATCAATTTGCCATTTACCCAATAATTGATCTTCGTGTGGGCAACTTTTATTTTACATTTACAAATGCAGTCTCGTATATGCTGCTCACTGTCGTTTTGGTCGTTTTCTGTTTTTTGTTGTTACGAATAAGGGAGGTGGAATGTCAGTGCCAAATGCATGGCAATCCTTGGTCGAGCTTATTTATGATTTCGTGCTGAACCTGGTAAACGAACAAATAGGTGGTCTTTCTGGAAATATGAAACAAAAGTTCTTCCCTCGCATCTGGGTCACTTTTACTTTTTCGTTATTCCGTAATCCCCAGGGTATGATACCCTTTAGCTTCACAGTGACAAGTCATTTTCTCATTACTTTGGCTCTTTCATTTTCCATTTTTATAGGCATTACGATCGTTGGATTTCAAAAACATGGGCTTCATTTTTTTAGCTTCTTATTACCTGCGGGAGTCCCACTGCCGTTAGCACCTTTCTTAGTACTCCTTGAGCTAATCTCTTATTGTTTTCGTGCATTAAGCTTAGGAATACGTTTATTTTCTAATATGATGGCCGGTCATAGTTTAGTAAAGATTTTAAGTGGGTTTGCTTGGACTATGCTATTTCTGAATAATATTTTCTATTTCATAGGAGATCTTGGCCCCTTATTTATAGTTCTAGCATTAACCGGTCTGAAATTAGGTGTAGCTATATCACAAACTCATGTTTCTACGATCTCAATTTGTATTTACTCAAATGATGCTACAAATCTCCATCAAAATGAGTCATTTCATAATTGAATAAAAACGAGGAGCCGAATATTCTAGGGGGCTACAGCTGCGCTTTTGCAGCACTGAACATGGTTCCGGGTACTCAAGATATTGTGTCTGTTTGGAGAGGTGTAGATTGTAGATTCCAGCCTAGAAGACCGGGAAAAGATAAGGATAAAGAATGTCATATATCTCACGAGCTAGATCACTTCCCGATGAACAAGTCAGAATTGCCTCAACAAAAATGGATGGAATTGGACCGGAAAAAGCCATTCAACTTCGTTATCGATTAGGTATCAGTGGGAACATCAAGATGAATGAGTTCACTAAGTATCAGATCTACCAAATTGAACAAATGATAGTGCAAGATCATGTTGTTAATTGGGAATTGAAGAGGGGAAAACGAGCAGACATCGAACAATTAATTTCTATTTCTCGTTATCGTGGAATTCGTCATCGTGGAATTTGTCATCAATATGGATTGCCCTTACGCGGTCAACGAACTCATACTAATGCAAGGACTGCTCGCAAGCAAATTCGGAAATGAAAGAAGGCTACCGAAAGAACAAGCAACGGATTTCACGCTCATCCCTTGCTAAAGCGCATACGTTTTCTTGCTCCTTGGTACTTGTCTGATCAATCACACTTTTTATTAGTTCACTTGATTTTTCGTTCGATGTCTTGAACCGCTTACTAATCACGTATACATATAGTAGGCTGATATGTCTCCAACGTATCTATAATTTTTTATTGTTCCATGCTATTATATTACCCCTTTTAGATGTTTATGGGGTTTTATTTTACACATTTATATCATTTTTGGGACTAACCTACTAACCGGAGGCCCAGCCCATATTGCTGTTTTTTTTGCCTATTTCAGTATTTCTAAGAAAAGGAATATCAAACGGAGTCCAAACGGAATGAAACCTTCGAGGGCGTGATTTTTGGAACA